TTGTTCGGTTGCATGGGGTCCCAGTTTCTATTATCTCAAATAGAGGTACTCAGTTTACTTCCCAGTTTTGGAGGACTTTTCAGCGGGAGTTGGGCAGACGGGTAGAGTTGAGCACAGCGTTTCATCCTCAGACGGATGGGCAGTCCGAGCGTACTATTTAGATATTAGAGGACATGTCGCGTGCCTGTGTTATTGATTATGGAGGTTCTTGGGCTGAGTTCTTGCCACTTGCAGAGTTTGCTTACAACAACAGCTATCAATCCAGTATTCAGATGGCGCCATATGAGGCCTTATATGGGAGACAGTGTAGATCTCCGGTTGGTTGGTTTGAGCCCGGCGAGGCTAGGCTATTGGGGACAGAGTTGGTCCAGGATGCCTTAGAGAAGGTGAAAGTGATCCAGGAGAGACTTCGTACAGCTCAGTCGCGTCAGAAGAGTTATGCGGACAGGAAGGTTCGAGATGTATCTTACATGGTGGGCGAGAAGGTCTTGTTGAAGGTTTCGCCTATGAAGGGCGTTATGAGGTTTGGGAAGAAAGGGAAGTTGAGTCCGCGGTTCATAGGTCCTTTTGAGATACTTAGGAGAGTTGGGGAGGTGGCCTACATGCTTGCTTTGCCACCCAGCTTGTCGGGAGTCCACCCGGTATTTCATGTTTCTATGCTCCGGAAAATATGTTGGGGACCCGTCTCATGTGTTAGACTTCAGCACGGTCCAGTTGGATGATGACTTGACTTATGATATGGAGCCTGTAGCTATTTTGGGTCGACAGGTTCGGAGATTGAGGTCTATGGATATAGCGTCAGTGAAGGTGCAGTGGAGAGGTCGGCCCGTGGAGGAGGCTACTTGGGAGACCGAGCGGGAGATGCGGAGTAGATATCCTCACTTGTTTGAGACTCCAGGTATGTTTGTTGACCCGCTCGGGGACGAGCGTTTGTTTTAGTTGGGAAGGATGTGACGACCCGGCCCGTCGTCACGAGAGTTACCGCCCCGTTTCCCCCATATTGTGTTGCCTTATGTTTCAATATTAGCGTTTGAGTTGATCGGGTAGAGTTGGATTGGTTTTAGTTGGAAATGAGGCACTTAGTCTCTTAGAAGGAAGCTTGTTTTGGAAAAGTCAACCGAAAGTTGACTATGTGGTTAGAGGGCTCGGATGTGAATTCCGGTGGTTCGGTTAGCTTCGGGGGATGATTAGTGGCTTAGGAATGCGATCGGAATTGAATTTGGAGGTCCGGTGTAGAATTAGGCTTGAATTGGCGAAGTTTGAATTTTGGCGAATTCCGGTTGATAGGTGAGATTTTGATCCGAGGGTCGGAATGGAATTCCGAGAGTTGCAGTAGTTTCGTTAGGTGACTTTGGATATGTCTGCAAATTCTCAGGTCATTTGGACGTTGTTTGGTCGGGTTTTGATTGAATGCGCATTTCGGAAGTTTTGATGAAAACTAGGCTTGAATCCGATGTATTTTAATGGTTTTAGCATTTGTTTGACGTGTTTTGAGGATTGGAACAAGTTTGAATAAGGTTATAGGATGTGTTGGTGCTTTTGGTTGAGGTCCCGGGGGCCTCGGGGTGATTTCGGATGGTTAAACGGGAGTTGGAAGCATTTGTTGCAGGTCAGATTCTTCTGTCTTCTGGTATTTACGCATCTGCGGAAAGGAGCCGCAGAAGCGGTTCCGCAGATGCGGCGAAGAGGTCGCAGAAGCGGGCAGGTGTGGCCCAGGGATTTTTCCGCATAAGCGGACGTGTAGGCGCTTCAGCGAGTCCGCATAAGCGGTTAATATACCGCAGAAGCGGTTGGAGGTAAACCGCATAAGTGGGTGTTTGGATCGCATAAGCGGTCCCAGGTGTTTTAAGTGAGACCGCATAAGCGGTCAATTTGTCGCATAAGCGGTACCGCAGGTGCGGTTAAAGGACCGCAGAAGCGAAAATCTGGACTGTGTTTAATGAACAGTGTTCGCGAATTTCAGAAGTTAAGAAAACATTTTAGACTTCGGGAAGAGGCGATTTTGGGCGATTTGGAGAGGATTCGAAGGGGATTCCATCAAGTATGAATTTATAGACCTGAATAACGTTGTTATGGTGTAAAAACAAGGATTTAAACATTGAAATTCAAGGAATTAAAGGGGTAAAAATGGAGGAAGGGCTTGAAACCTAAGAAGGTTTGAATTGTTGATTTAAGGGGTCAAATGGACTCCGATTCTTGTGTATTTTATATGTACGGACTCGTGGCGAGACGAGGATCCCGGTGATGTGAATTTCGTAATTTTTCGAGAAGTGGGCCCGAGGCTCGGGTTTTGCCAACTTCGTGTTTTTGGGTGTTTTTTTCGAGTTCTTTCGATTGGGTTATGTTCCATTAGCATATTATAATGTATTCCTTGTGGTTTTGATCAGGTTCGGCGCGTGAGGAGGTTGATTCAAGAGGGAAAGGGCATAGCGAGCTAGATTCTGGGCCGGCTTGAGGTGAGTAATGAGTGTAAATGATGAACTGAGGGTTTGAAACCCCGGCATTTCACATCGTACCGCTATATTGAGGCGAGGCACGCGCTCTATGACGAGTGCGGGGCTGTTGGTTATTGGGGATTGTGACTCGGTCCGTCCCGGTGATGCTTTTTACTGTGTTTTTCTACTAGAACTTGCTGGAAACCATTGTTACTTGGTTTGACTATTTTACTTGGGCTTCGTGCCGGTTATTTGGATCTTCCAGGGATTGATTTTACGGATTTGCATACTTTGCACATTGTTTAACCTTTTTCTAAGGTTTTCAGTATTGTTTTGCAAACTCAGCCCCCCTTTTTTTTTAAACTTGGAAACTCAAATGGTATTTAAATAATATGTTGGGCTGTGGATTACTGTTTTGAAAGTGCCTAAAGGGCTTATATTGATTTTCTGGAAATTATGGATGGCTCGGGCTGCACGTCGCAGCAATGGTATATGATATTGAGGCTGAGGGCCTGGTTGGTGCCACGAGATGGCTTGTTATTGCGCTTGGGCTGTAGGAGCCCCTCCGGAGTCTGTACACACCCCCAGTTAGCGCCGTCGACGTAATATATATATATGGTTGGCTCGGACTGCACGCCGCTGGGTACCTGAGTGTACCGGTATTTGTATATGGTTGGCTCGGACTGCACGCCGCAGTAGGTACTTGAGAGTACCGGTATTGCATTGCATTGCATCATTGCATCATTTCTTACCTGTTACCTGTCATGGTTATTTTTCTGTCCTACTACTTTATTGACTCGCCGGTTTTACTATTAAAGGTTTGGTACTGCCTGTTATAGATGCCTTGTGTTTTTCGGGAATTTCTTACTTTCAGTGGTTATTTATGCTTATTACTCACTGAGTCGGAGTACTCACTTTACTCCCTGCACCTTGTGTGCAGATTCAGTTGCATCACAGTCTGAGGGAGGACCTATCTAACTGAGCAGCATTTCTTCGGGAGCATCGAGGTAGCGCCTGGCGTTCGCAGCCCTGATTCTTCCCTCCTATGCTTATCTTTTATCATTCTGTTTCTTAGACAGTATTGTTATAGGATGACACTCTGTATTAGAGGCTCATGGTCGTGACACCGGATCCTGTTTTGGGCTTATGTTTTTCGTATTCTGT